CTTAGCACGGCCACAAGGACCGTGCACCCCGTCCCCTCCAGCAACGACCAACTGTCTACTGGAGCCAGGATGGACGAGGTAGTGGGTAATAGACAGGTAGGCATCTTGTCAACATGCACATCAAGCGCATCCACACCGGGGATATTAAGCAACAGCCATTCACTTTAAACGACTAGCTGAAATAAAATAAATCCAATAATGCATACAGATACGGTGGCATAACTCTTCCCTTAATAACCATATGAAGTAAGTTCGTTAGCAACGAATCCGCGACAAGTATGAAATGTCCACAAGTTACTTAAAAATGCTACAAACGGAACAGAATTACCGAAAATAAGCGCAATTAGTGTAAGCAACGTGACCAGTTAATGTAAGATTATTTAGGTAGGTAGAACAAACCAAATAAAGTGGAATGAAATTTATCCATCTTAAAAAGACCTAGTTTAAGTGTAAGTCGGTTTAGCCCAACTGCGGTGAAGATGCATCAAGAATGCAACATCAGCCTCAGCATAGGGCATATATATATATATATATATATATATATATATATGTACCCACGGACGCCGCGGATTTTTGGATCAACGTGTGCTGGATACTACTTTTACCTCAGATTACTGTGTTTGCAGCGTTTTATCTGTGTGAATTGTGCACCATTATTCTTCTTTTGGCGTATTTTCCAAGCGGTGCAAATTTGGGAGCTATTCTTTGGCTAATTCCGGAGATCTCACTGATTTGCCATACTACCATCTCTGTCCGCCATCTTAGATTTGCTCTAGCTTGTGATGCCGTCTCAAGCTACTTGTGGTTCGTGTTCGAAAGTTGTGGGAAATAAGGCTCATGCACTTCGATGCTACAGCTGTGATGTTTTGTTCCATATTTCGTGCATTGGCTTATCCGTTGACGTGTTTCGAAAATCGCTCGACATCCGACATCGGTTTTTCAAGTTATATGTGATAAATGTCGCGGTACAAGACATCAGAATACGCAGCGACCGCAAACAACTACGGAAAAATCTCTCTTTCAGATAGGAACAAACCGTTCACCACGTGGGATCAAACGCCCTCGTGAAAGTACCTCTGTCACCTCGCCTTCTATTGTCACTCCGCGATCTGCACCACCACCAGCGTCTTCGACCCCGGCCGAACCCCAGGTTCAATGTTTCCCACCGATGGAAGACTCAGACTCAGAAGCTACGAAATGCCGCTTCACTGATCGGTCCGTGAATTTCTCAGAGCCTGTCTGTGAACTGCTGAACACCGAGGATCCATGGACCACTCAGAAGCGCAAGGGCCCACGTAATCGAGTTCAGACGTCACCTGCTGATAAACAACTACCCAATCAGTCAAGCGCCTCTAGTTCTGCTCCCACAGGTTCATCACTGATTTCGCTGAGGCGTCATAATCTCATGGTCTTCCACGTACCGGAGTCAAAAGATGAAAACCCTCAGATACGTTATGATCACGATGTTGAGTTCCTCCAGGGGCTCATCGATAGACTCTTGGATGTGGGCGAGGACAGTGTGACGATTAAACAAGTAATCCGACTTGGCCAGAAAACTAACCAGTCATGTCGACCTCTGAGGATCACCTTTGCAAATCCTAATATGCCGCAGATCATACTGTCTCGTCTGTCAAGGCTGAAAGGCATAAAAGTTCACATCCGCCGAGATTTGGAACCCGAGGACAGGGATCGTTTGAAGACTGCGGTCATTGAGCTCAAACGCCGTACAGAGGAAGGTGAGACTGACTTACAAGTTGTAAATTTTCGGGTGATCAAGAAGGGTGTACGAACCCGTATCAATCGGTTGCTCAACCTCCAGGCACGTCCCGCAGTACCTCCCAGGACCTCCGTGTCGCATTCGCCAACGTGTGCAGCCTAATGAACAAACGTGAGGAACTGTGCCGCTTCGCTGTCTCGGAGCGGCCGGACATTTTAGGACTTGCAGAGACATGGTTGAACTCCGACATCATACCCCAAGAAGTCGTGTTGTCAGGATACTCTTGTTTCCGATGTGACCGAAAATCAAAGGCTCACGGTGGTGTTCTGTTGTACATAAAATCGTCACTATCTGGCAAACGTATCAGTACCTATCGGAGCGAGGATAGTTTATGCGAGCAATTGTGGTGCACAATCCGTCTCAGGCGCGCAGAACTAATTGTGGGGGTTATCTACCGGAGCCCATTAAACCGTTGCTGCGATTGGATACCACATGTACAGAAGCACATGAGCCGCCCTCAGTTCTTACTGATGGGGGATCTAAATTTACCTAAGATAATTTGGCCAGATGTTCGACTTCTTCCCGGTCATGGCAACGTTGAGGCTCAATTCGCTAAAATGACTATTGAAATTGGGGCAACGCAACATGTCATCCAACCGACGCGCGTAACTCCGTACTCGGCATCTTGTCTGGACCTAATGTTTACGAGCTGCGAGCAGAAGCTAAAAGAGATCAGAGTCATCGAACCTCTGGCGAACAGTGACCACTGCTCTATTGTAGCAAGCTTAGAACTGTCGTTACCATATTACAATCAACAGAAGCCGACATTCAACTATTGGAAGACGGACTTCAACGGACTTGTCCAAGCCGCAAGTCAGACTGATTGGACACTACCACATGATGCGTCACTTGAGGCGTGGTGGTCATTAATAAAGGGGAAGCTTAACTCGCTCTGTACTCGGTTCGTTCCCCTTAAGTATCCAAAAATCGGACCTGTCAAACCGCATTGGTTTGATAGGGATTACAGACAGTTAGCGCGACGACGTCGTAAACTTTGGGATAAATACATCAGCTCGGGTTGTGATGAAGATTACGCGGTGTACAAGAAACAGCGTAACTTATGTAACGCCGCAAAGATCAAGAAACGCCGGCAGTTCGAAGAGGAACTAGCATCCTCGGCCGCAACTGCACCCAAGCGAATATTTGCCTACTTGAAACGTCAACTGAAACCTGGAGACGACCTACCGGTCTTAGAGAGCTTAGACGGGAAGACACTCATTTCAAGCGCGGAGCGCGCGGACGCCCTGGCTACGTACTTCCTCACTGTATTTTCCAGTAAACCGGCGGCTGTTCCAGTACCAGCACAGGTTGCGCCAGTCTTGCTCGACAGCCTACAATGTGATGCAGTCGAAGTACATCAGCTACTCGTCAACCTCAATGGTGCAAAGCCCCCCGGGCCAGACGGACTTCACCCACTAATACTCAAGTCCCTATCGATTATCATCTCACCAGTTGTGACAAACCTTTTCAATAGATCGCTCTCTGAAGGATCTGTCCCCAACGACTGGAAATGCTCGATAGTTAAACCGCTTCCCAAGGGTGGTGATCAGAGTAAAACAGAGAACTACAGACCGATCTGTTTGACTTCGGTATTATCCAAAGTTCTCGAGAAGGTTGTGAAAAAATGTCTGCTGTCGTTCTTCGAATCGATGGACATATTGACGTCAGCGCAACACGGCTTTACGAAAGGGCGATCCTGCATCACCAACTTGATGTACGCAAACCACCAGTGGGTTCGAGCTCTCAATGAACAGAAGGATGTTGACGTGGTGTACATCGACTTTAGTAAGGCGTTTGATAGAGTGAACCACGAGGTACTCCTTCGTAAACTGAGGACATACGGAATCGGTGGCACGTTACTTCTGTGGATACAAGAGTTTATTGTGGGACGAAGGTTTAGAGTACAGGTCAATGACTATCTGACAGAATGGTTCCCATCGACCAGTGGCGTGCCTCAAGGAACTGTACTTGGGCCAGCATTATTTCTTATTCATATCAACGATCTTCCGCAGCAGCTCCAGTCACCATGTGTCCTGTTTGCAGATGATTTGAAAATCTGGAGGATCATTGAAAACCAGGACGACTGCGCTCGCCTCCAGCATGACTTAGAGCGACTGTCAACGTGGTCCACTGAAATGCAACTCCCTCTTAACGCAAGCAAGTCGGAGTTCATCAGTATCACCAGACGTCCAGCCACTCGATCATACACCTTGGACGGCCAGTTGCTCCATCCCAACACATCTGTCAGAGACTTAGGAGTTCTCTCACGACATGATTTAAGATCACTAGAAAATACAGAGAAATTGTACCGTGCGGGACTTCGTATGCTCTGGGCATTACGACGCAGTTTCTCCACATGGTCCGAAGAAACCGTCCCTCGTCTATTCACCTCGCTCATTAGACCAATCCTTGAATACGGTGCCCCAGCTTACCATCCGATAACCCAGTGGGAAACTGAAAAATTGGAGAAAATACAGCATATCGCAACTAGAATGATACCAAGTCTACGAAAACTTCCATATGAAAAACGTTGTGAAAAGCTCGGACTCTACACACTATCCTATCGCCGAGTAAGAATTGATCTTATTATGACCCATCGAGTACTACACTTGAATCACTTCCCCATACTACGGCCAATATTTCACCTGCGAGAACCCTGTAACACCCGAGGACATCGTTACAAACTCAGGGTCCCCAGCATGAACAAAGTATCACATCAGCTTTGTATCGAACGAAGAATCGTAAACTTATGGAATACACTACCTGAAGGATTAATAGAGGCCGATTCTGTGAAGTGTTTTAAAACCCGTATCGACGATTATTTTGCAAACCTGTGCTTTTGTGAAACGATGCACATACAGTGCCAAAAGAATACATTGTATATCCGGAAATAATGACGCTAGTACAAATTTCTAACCGAACACGGATAAACGATTAACGGACCAGACACAACTGCTGATAATTCACAAGTAAATTTTGATTTTTCGTAATTAGATAGAGTTGTACAGAAACCTTTCTACTTGCTCTTAAATACAGTATCAGTATCAGTATATATATATATATATATATGTATATATATATGAAAATTACGTCGGTGTGTTTGTGTTGCAGACAGTAAAGCAGCTATGGTATTCAAGCTTTTATAACAAACAAAATGTAAGTAGACGACAAGTAGTGTCTCAAAAGACTAAACATAAGTATTCCATGCAAACGCAACACTCACGCGGAGCAATACGGTTTCTTGTCGTATCCTCGGTAGTTTCCCATGGTGAGAGTCATCCCACACGTTTGGCAACGGAAGCATTTCCGATGCCAAATCTGATGGGAGAGAGAGAGAGATAAAATTACTACGGATCAGTGATCAGATGAGCACATCATAAAGCGACCCGGATTCAATGAAAACAAAAGCAATGTGAAACACATGAAACGCCATCGCGAAGGTATTCGCTAAAAGCAGCAAAGTATCACACGGTCGTCAGTAAAAACCAGGAGATAGCCTTCGAGTCGGTTACCAACGAATGTATCTTGAATGCAGAGAGAAATGAAGGATTAGTGACTTACAAAAATCAAGCCGGGGAATAAAAAATATTTTTACCGAGCTTCCCAGTAACGAATGTTAGATTCGGCTTGGGAAAATGGAAAGTCCAGCTATATTAGCGATCACAGAGCGCGTGTTTGCACACCACTCTCAGCAAGACCCAGCTAAGCAAAGAATACGCAGTCAAGATCGCAGGACAAGAAAGGCATTTTATCAGACGTTGTGGGGAATTAAAAATATGAAACGATAATGGTGTAAGATCAACACTGGGTTTCAACGTTGGTTTGTATGCAATACGGACCTTTGTCATTCGGGAGCGTCAATGATGAATGCCAGACTATCAGGGAGGAGCAACACAGTCTAAAAGATACCAACAGTTTGATGTAGCAATAGCATGGATGAAAGGTGAAATAAAGGGGAAATTAGCCATGCACACCGGTACCAGGCGCAGTTCACATTAAAGCGATGGAAATGGACCATCATGCGTGGTAACTTATGCATACCGCTGAGATCCACAAGCCCAAGCTGTGAAGGAGACCCAAGTACCCAAAATACCACTCATATCGGAGGTTTAACGTCCAGTGATCGATCAAGTTCGGCCCAGTATCTTTCTCATAAGCTGTCTGAAAGAGGTTGATAACTCTTCCCACAAAATACAGCAAGGAGAGGCAACCGGATCAGTCCGATTGTTCAGGTTAATTCAGCTAACCAACACTAACCGGAGTGGAGATATATGCAATGTCCAGCCGAATAAGGAGTCCATGAAAAAACAATAATTTTATCACAAAGGTCAAAATAAGTCAATGCAAAAGATGGCGGTGAGAAGTAAAATATGATGCCCAACAATAACACTAAATCCGCGAGTGTGACATGATGAGAAGAACATTAATCGCTAAGGTGGTTGATTCTTGGCGTCGCCAACATGACGCAATTGCGGAGGTGTCCCCGTTGCACTATGTTGACGATTTATAGATAGCAAATGACGTTGGGTGATTCACATGCTTCTGCTTAGTTACGTGTAATTAGTGTAATTTATATATATATATATATATATATATATATATATATATATATATATATATATATGGCGGGAGAGCCCATGGTGCGTTTGTACTGGATAGGTTCTGACAGATCATCGATTGGCTGCTCTCAATGTTGTGCCTTGGGCTCATGTCTTGGACGCCTCGTGACGCCCATTGGGTGGGAGTTGTGTTACACCCAGCTTACAGCTAAGAGACTAAGTATGGATTTAAAAGCAAGTAGAAAAGCTTATGTACAAGTCCATCGAATTATGAATAAAAGCAAAAACATTTAAATGTGTACATATGGTCGAAGGCTTTGGCTGAGGACCCGAGTCGTTCTCTCCTCAGGTGTGGACGCCCTGTCAGTATCCTAGTTCAACCCTCAACTATGAATCACGCCAATACTAATATATCCACGCTGCATCGGCCGTTGCGCAGTGGCATTGAAAAAGGGATGCCTTATCTGCTCCTTACAGCGGGGTGGATAAGCGAAAACATGCTACCGCTAGCGCCTCCCTTCCTTCTTATTCTCCGGCAGATGCCCTTCCGCTCTCCGGCTCAAATAACTACTTCTTACAATCCAAGTCGTCACCACTCATACAATTGCCTGACAACGCAATCGCATGTCTAAGCGCAAAGCGCTCAACATCGGGTGCTGAAAGGTGCGCACACTGCTCGACCGGAATACCAGTGAGCGTCCCGAGCGACGCACTGCACTGGTCGCAATGGAAGATTTTGATAAAAACTAGAACAAAACATTTTTAGTTTGTTTTCACACGCCGATTTTTTTCCTTTTTGACATTTTCAATGTTTGTAGTATTAAACATGTGAGTCGATACAAGACTGCACACAATTCTTCCACTCATTCCGGTTGCGGGCCATGTCTTTTAGAGTGCTAAGCCATTGGCACTCCTCATCTTTGGGTCCCCTTCCTGGAAGACGTACGGATCGAACAGCGGCTAGACACGTCATCGATTTCATGTGCTACCGCCAAGTGGAAGGCTGATAAACACGCGGTCACCTTCAGCCAGGTCCTTGACGAGCGAATAAAGCGCGACGCGGTAGACGCTCAGGTGCCATGCGTAGGACGTGACCGAACCATCTTAACTGGCGCAACAAAACCAGTTTGTTAAAGGGAATACTCGCATTCCTCAAGATGCGACGTCGAAGGTCATCATTATTAACTCGATGTTGTCACCAAACACGAGCGATCTTCCTTAAGCAACCGTTATCGAAGGCAGAAAGACAACGCATGTCTTCCGCGCGAATCGGCCAGGACTCGCACCTATACTACAATACTGAGCGAACTGATGCGCTGTAAACGCGGCCCTTTCATCATCATCATCATCATCATCAACAGCAGTACATCAGCCATTTGAACTGATGCTTCGCTGCCATACAATCATGAGGACCTATGAAATAAAGAATAAGAAGAGGGAGAGAAGGGGGACTTACCTGAAAACCTTAAATGCCCTAAGCAAACATTCAGGGTCAAGGCGCCTACACCTTGTGTAGACAACATTCTGTCACAAACAGCTGGCTATCGTGCAAAGATAAGGCGGCATCGGCGAGACAGCTTCCTTGCGGCTTTCACTGCCACGCGTCATAATCAGCCATTACCCCGCAGATAACTCAGCACCAAACACACTTTAAACAGACAATCCGATTAGGAGACGGCAGCAGACGCGCCACTGGTGTCGGTTGCGAGCCATGTCCCGTAAAGTCTCGAGCCAAGCACAAGGTGAGTCACGTGGACTCCAACCAGGAAGGCGAGACGGACCAACGGCACCCAGTTTGGTCGTTAGTGACTTCATTTCCCGCTGCCAAGTCAACTTCTGTCCACCTCGAGCCTTGCGCCATCCTACACCTGGTAGACTGAACAAGGCCCTCCTAGGTAAGCGGTGACCAGGCATGCGTAGCACGTGCCCGAGCCAACGTAACTTATTCAGTGCTATCTGTTGTCCTAGGGAGCTAGCATGATCATCACCACCTAGTACTCGTCTACGCACATCATCGTTGCGGACACGCTGGTGCCATCCGACACCAGCAATGCTTCGCAAACAACGATGATCAAAGACTTGAAGGCGCCTCAGATCTTCAGACCGAAGGGGCCAAGTCTCACTACCATAGAGCAGAACGGCCCTCACTGTGGCCTTGTATACACGGCCTTTCAGACGGAGGGAAACCCTCTTCTGTTGCCAAAGATGACGCAGGTTCAAGAAGGTAGTTCTGGCCTTTGCAATGCGTAAGCTCACGTCAGTTTCTATGCGCCCATCATTGCTGATGCAGCTGCCAAGATAAGTGAATTGATCAACCACCTCGAGTTCCTCGTTAGCAAGCGTCAAGGGGTCATCGAGTGGCTGGTGGTCCTGCAGCAACACTTTGCACTTTGAAGGTGCGAAGTGCATACCAAATAATGGGACCACTCTGGATAGGCTATTCAGGGTTGATTGTGCCGCCTCAACATTGTCGAAAAGCAAGACGATATCGTCCGCATAATCAAGATTAACTAACCTTTCACCAGGCAGCACTTCAACACCTACATGGTGAGATTCCGCAAGGGGACACTCCATGATAGAATCCACGACGAAATTGAACAAAAATGGGGATATCGGGCAACCCTGTCGAACGCCACTTGTAGTCGAAAAGCTATCCGATAGGGCACCATAGACCCTGACGCGGCCTCTAGTGTTCGAGTATAGAGCACGAAGGATGTTCACATATTTCGTGGGAACACCTTTCCGCGCAAGTATTTCGAACAGCATCGATCGATCGACAGAATCGAATGCACTCTTGAAATCGAGGAACACAGCTATTGTTGGTCTGCGGTATGCGGGGCGCTGCTCTAGCACCTGCCGCAAAGTAAATATATGGTCTATACAGCCACGTCCTGGGCAAAAACCGGCCTGCTCTTCCCTAATCCGAGATTCCCGTTCTGCAGTGAGGCGACGAACGAGAATCGAGGCCAGTAATTTTGTCACAACTGGCGTTAGGCTAATACCCCTGTGGTTCGCACAGTCTGTGCGAATGCCCTTCTTGTATATTGCCACTAGAATCGATTCGCTCCAATTAGCCGGCACACTCTCTTCGTTCCAGATACGTTCGAATAGGGAGGTCAGTGTTTGCAGAGAACCTCACCTCCATCCTTAAATAGTGCAGGTGGTAGGGAATCCGGGCCAGCCGCACGAAAACGATTGAGGGCTGTGTTCGCGTTTCGGACCTCGGCCTCCGACGGAGGCTCCGAACTAACCGTCCATGGCTCGTCCTGCATTACCTGAGTAGGAAGAGGTCCGGGAGCAGGGGGCCAGCTGAACTGATGTTCAAAGTGCTCAGCCCAACGAGCCATACGGCGCTCCTTATTGTGTATCAGCGCACCCGCGCTGTCCCTGATTGTCTCACTGACGCATGGTTTCCTCGGACCAGTGGTGCGTATTAGCTGGAAGAGCTTCCGGTAATTGCCTACTGCTCCTGCCTCCTCCATTTCTTGAGCCCGACTGGTCCACCAGGCTTCCTTGTCAGCACATAGGCTACACTTTAGTTCACGCCTAATAGCCCGTCTGGTCACATTGTGTTCAGAACCAGCCGGGAGGTGTCTTCTAGCTTCCAAAAGGTTCACGGACCTCTCGGACATCCAGTGACTGGTGCGATGACGACTGATAGTGCCACAAGCAGATGCTCCTGCGTCGTGCATAGTGGCCGAGATCCTATTCCACTGAAGTTCAGTATCATTAGGACAAGACAGCGAGAGTTCGCTATGC